TTTATTAATTTTGTACTTAAAATATTCTAAAAGAAACATAACAATATTGTTTTATGTACTTTCACTTTTCACGTATAGTATAACTACTCTTTAAGATTAAGTACTGTGTATCTCAAAAACCAGAGCTAATAAAAATTTTTCATTGTTATTTTCGTTTTTATCACCCCAAAATTAGTAGAAATTGACTAATTTAGTGTAGGAAACATTCAAAAAATATTTTTTTGTTGTGTTGTGTTACTGGACAAAAGGAGGCAATATATGGACGTACGAAATTACGTCCAGAAGAATATGACGAACATTCAACACGGAACCTGTACAAACTAGTACAGGGAACAAGACTGATAGAATGGTTGTCATGAAAAGATGGGAGAATAAACGCAAAAAGCCCAAGAGGCTGCAGTGTTTTCTGGAGACATGGACTAAATGGACAAGTCAGACAGCTCCCAAGGTACCAAAAAAAAAATTGATTCGTTATAGTCTGAAAGGTTTCCGACATCAATATGAAGATGGCAACAGTCTTGAATAAAAGCTAGTGAATTTCGTTGTTCACCAGATGAAAATGGACAAAATCTAGTACCGAGCTGTCATTAAATTTTTATTTTTGAAAGGCAATACGCCTACGAAATCAAATATGAGTTGGATTATGTGTATGAGGACCCTTCACCATCATTTGCCACAGTGACAGCAGAATTTAAACCAGCAAGTCTATTTTACAACTGCCAAATATGCTTCAGCCTCGTTTAGGATCTGAAAGTTGATAAGGTACTCTTCTTTATTGGTTAGATGCAACTTATGTTTATAACTGTTGAATAAATAATAAGAATATCAATCTGAATATGTGAATATTTTTAACAGATTTCAGAATTTACAGAGAATTATTCTTGGTTTTATGCCGAAGGTTCCAATTTTCCCTCCATTATAGATGTTATTATTGAAGAAAAATGATGAACGATGAAAACTCCAGAAATAAAAGTATTTCTGTACTTATTCATGAGTCAATCATACTGGAGCCATATATTTTCAACAGAATAATCCAGGTATGTGCCGGAAATGTTGAAAGATCCTTCGAGAACGTCTGAAAGTGAATGTGTCAAAGTTTGCGTAAGGCTTTTTATGGTAATTCGGAGAAGTTTGTTGATGGTACTTAGAGTATATTGATTTTGCTATTCTGTTTTCTCTGGAAAATCTCGTTACGAAATTCTATTAAAAGCGGAAAACGAACGTGCACACAATCTCTTATTAAAAAAAGAATTATCTCGAGATAATACTCAGCGGAAAATGAAGATGGGAAGCAGTAAACTCAACAGAGTGTAACTTACATAATTCTGAAGGGTGAGTGGGGTGGATGAGGAAAATTTCTGGATTTTCGTAAGGTTACTGACATACCAGCAGTTTGTAATGATAACGGTGCTGTCTGTTCAAAAAATAAGGTGACTGTTCAAATTTCGCGGGCTACCTATATTCGATTTGCGATTGTTTTAATCGCCCTGGACGCAACAGCACATCAACAACCGATGAAAATGTTGACAAAGTGAAGAAAATTATTAGGTATGGAGAATCACTACCACAGAAGTTTCTGGAATGTCGGCTATTCGGTTGGCTTGAGAGAGAGTAATGTTTATTCATTTGTGGGTTGACAGTACAACATAGGTATAATGATGTAAGGGGCCCTGCCTCTTCAGGGTTAGGTTCCTTTACAAACAATTCAAATTGAAATTATCAGAGTTTGCCGTTGCGTTATTGGTTGGAGTGTCCGGGTCCATAGCTGTGTCATTTTCAAGGGTTCGGATTTTTGTTGAGCCAAGCCTGACACTTTAAGGTTTTCCAGGGCGTGCGCTGTCCTCTATCTTACCGCCAGTGGGTATTTCCCACCCCCTCAAGTACTCCTCTTTCATTGCTCTCAGGAGTCTGGCTGGGGGGAACGGAAGCTTCTTTCTTGGTATCCTTCTGGGTCCTCCACATAGCGTCCAGAGGGTGAGGCTGCTGATGGCAGCGGTGTTGTTGCTTCTCGTGACTTTCACAGCGTATCGTCGTTGTAGTTCCTGAAATCTCAAGTTCATTGTGGTAATATTGAAGTTATATACATCTTGGGAGAGGTATCAGAATGGGAGGTTATGGATGTTTCGTAGGATTCGCCTCTCGGTTGTTAGTACGCGGTGGGTTCTTCTCTGGGAGAGCATGCAGTAGATCGTGGCTTTAAAATCCAAGATCGGTCTTATGAACATTTTGTATGTGTGTAAAAAAGTCTCACCATCGTATCTACCGAGCTTGCCTCTCAGTGCTTTTAAGAGATTGACTCCTTTTCAGACTTTGTCCAGAGTTTCTCTAAGGTTGGTCTCCCAGTTGAGGGTACTCGTGAAAGTAAACCCCAACTAGGACACCGAGTCCTGAAGTTGGAGGTTCTCTCCTAACAGTCTGAGGTGCAAATTGTTAGTACTTAATCTGGGTCGAGTTGTGGTATCACGATATCTTAATAGGATGGTATGGTTTTGAAGGAGTTCATTTTGATGCGCCACTTTTTGGACCAGTATCATTGTTTGAGATTGTGTTTGTAAGATGTGGGTATTAGAGGCGGAAGAGTAAAAAATTGTGTCACCGGCATATTGTAGGATTTTTTGAGTGAAAGAAGCGTCGTGAACATAGATTAGGAATTTGGGTGTGAGGGGAGAGGACGGGGCTCGTTTGATTTGACGCAGATTCGTCGATTAGTGAGATAAGAGGCTACTAATCTAATGAAATGCGGAGGAATTTGGATTTGGATAAGCTCCCAGATCGGGCCCGCGTGTCAGACCTTGTCGAAAGCTTTCTGGATGTCTACAAGGATGGCGACTGTACCATACTTTGGGAAATATATGTATGGAGTTCGACTAGTGCGTTTTGGATGGAATTTTCAGGTCTGAAACCATGTAGGTGAAGGATTGGCTCATGCTACGCGATTTATTCGAAGACTTGCACCAAGAGTTCTTGCCACAAGGTCATACGTTCAATAAGGAGTATTATTTCGAAATTCTGAAGAAGCAATTCATGGTTTAGCTATCACGATAATGCACCTGCTCACTCGTTAGTTCGTAAATAGAAAGACCAATTCAACATTTGCAAACCACCTTTCAGCAGAAGGACACGAATTCAATGATGAATACGACGTGATACATTTAGAAGAGAAAAGTTTGAAACTCAATCTTCTAGAATGTTCAGAAATCAATAGATTCAAGAATTCCGGTAATTTAGTGAATGATGCGTCAGTATTATCATAATACCTTGATCCAGAGATGTATGAGAGTTTCGATAGTCCCAAAAAGAAAAATTGTGTCTTGGTGTTTCTAGACGTAAGAACGGTTAAAAAACCATTCAGAAAGATACTATGCAGGAATCGGACTCTCGTGAGACTCCAAAGAACCATAGCGGGTTTGCTGGATCTAACTTGTTCTGAATCTTTGTCTTGACATATGACTTCTTCATAAAGGTTTCAGTTGGACTCTCCTATCTTAACTACACTCGTTTTTTCCCAGTTGCATTTTCAAGTTTTTCACATCTATTTTGAGGACCAATAAGTACATTCTACGTTTCGGTCATCTCCTGATGATGCTAACTTGATAAGCAAAACGAGCTAACCTCGGATCTCTTTTCTTTTTAACAGAAAGCGCATTCTGGTTTAGTGGGATATTTTCAAGATGACGCAGACTTTTTCGCCCGTAAAAACATTCGATCATATTCTCTTTCGTTGAAATGTCAGTGTTTTCATGTTTACTTTCCAATAATGTGAATTATTCTGGACCGCATACAAAGTGGGGATTGCACGTTAGGATATTAGACCTCGTTGATCCTCAGCTCGCAAAAGTTGAGATTTTTTATGGTCATCATTCGTTGACTCGAAGAAAAACAGCTTCAATTCTCAACCAATTATGATGAACCACTTGCCTTGTCTTGAGTATGTAACGTCATTCATGAAGAAATGAGAAATTATAATTCAAACGATATTTCTACTGAAATATCGTTTCCTTTGAACAACTAGGTTGAGGCAGAAGAATCGAAAAAACTTTTATTGAATTTATAACATACTTTGATTGTGAGCAGAATTATTTTCATTTTCACAAACGGTTTTTAAAATGAGTAAGCAGCTCATTAAAAATTCGTTTAACTTTATGAAGAAAAAAACGAACCCTCAGGTATTTCAGTGGTTGTTGATGAAATAATAATTCGCTTCTCAAAAGAACATTCCGTACACAGGAACTGTCCACAAAAGGATCAAAATATATAAACGGTTCACTGTTTCTATCATAATCTGAAATAGTTATGAACCTGAAATATTTTCCTCTCAAATCTTCCTTTTTTTCAGAAAAGGTTGAATTCATTATTAATATTTGAAAGCAGATAAAAGTTCTATATAGGCATTATACAAGCAAGAATTATCCTGAAACTCGTCATTTTTTATTTATGAAAAGACAGCATTAGATAAAATTATTTTTTTCTTAAACAGTGTTCTCAAACAATGAAGTTCGAGGTGTACTGAGTTGAACCTCAAAACGATGAGCAGTCACAGTCTGTCCCGTATTTTTTATATGTACCGCTCTTGGTGGAATCAAATGTGCCATTTCTGGGATTCCTACCTCAAAACGATGAGCAGTCACAGTCGGCCCCGTATTTTTGATATATACCGCTCTTGGTGGAATCAAATGTGCCATTCCTGGGATTCCTGGGGATCCATATTGCTTTTTGATATGTGAAATTGCAATAAGCTAAGTCTGTACTGACTTGACTGGATTCGAGTGGACTGTATATATTTCTAGATCAATCCGGCTCGAAGGACCATGTATTGATTTTGATGGATTTCAATGGACTGTATGTATTTTTGAACTGAACTTGGAATTATCATTGATTCAAATATTTAAAATGAAACTCTGCTTGGTGAGAGATGCATATATTCGAGATTGGTTCCTAACGAAACCATTTACGTTTCTGTCGTATGGATGCTTCGAGATGATACCGTCACAAAGTGGGACTTGCGCAAGAATCCTTATTCGTGAGCATGTTATCTAACTAAAATGTCTGGTTCACACACAAAGAAGGGTTATGAAACAGGTAGCCAGACACAGCTTTGGAACGACAAAGTCTGACCACGTATTCCGAAAAAGAATCCTGTAACCGGAGACTCCAGTCCCCCCAATTATGTTTACAAAGGTCGTACGGACTCGGAGATGTCTTGAGAGATGAATAAACTTCCCAGACATAATCCCTTTTGTTTGTTCTCGGTAGGCCACGAACCCGTCTTGCAATCTGCAGAAGGATCTTATTAATTACAAATTTACGAACAAGATGACAACTCGAAAATTACATCATAACTTCATCCCGAGAGCAAACCCCGTTGTATTATTTCGAGTGAGGTTTTTGTGGGGCGAAGGAAGATGAATCTTGATGGAGGAAAATGTTTGGTTTCTTTAGTTTCAGTTTCATCAGTTTTCTGTGTTTTTCATTGATAATAATAATATGAAGAAGAATTGCAGACCGATAACATGGTTGAATTCGTGTTATGAGTTGTTTACAGGCATCTTATACACATGAATACTCACCGCAGTTGACCGAGTGGGGATTGGTCGTTGGTTAATAAGATTAATAATAATATGCACACTCTCACAGACAGCAGCTATATTTTCAGCAGATATTGCGTTTCGTCGACGTACGGGTGTTGGTCGATTGTTTACTGAACCAGTGGACTCAAATTTATCCACCACATTACAAATAGTCCTCTCAGAAGTACAATTATGACGACCGTAAAAAGGGCGAAGCGCCCGAACAGAACATCCATTTCCCTAAATGAAAGTGACAACATTAATCGTTCAAATTTCTCCAGTTTCACTCAACATTGAGTGCGGTGATAATTACAGAAAAGCATTTCTGTCTATTCCCCATTTATCGAATGTTTTTTCGCAATATCTTGATGAGAATTAAATTAATCTTCCAAGATGGAATGTAATGGGATTCATAATTTTTATGGATGTCATCGTCTATATACTTTCCACAATTCTGAGGGAAAGATGAGCTATTAAGTATTTGATGTATTACTAATGAAAAATCGATTCAGTGTTGATGTACATTTTCATTTGTGTATATTATACTACATTATTGAAAAAAATCATTTTCGCATTTTATTGTTGGCATTCGGACTATGAATGATCGAATTAATTGGAAACAAAATAGTCCCAATGGAGGAGCCTAGGAGAGCCAAAACCAAAAAAAGCACGCCAAGTTTCATCAAATGTCAAGGTTTTGCTCACTGTTCTCTTCGATTATATTGGGTAGTGCATCATGAATTCATGCCACATGGTCGTAAGGTCAATGAAGAGTATTATCTTGAAGTTATGCACCACTTGCGAGGAGAAACGTCACTTTCGTCATTGCTTTTTCGTATTTTTTTGGCCAAAAACAACACCTCAATCATGCTTCAGCCACCGTATTCACCAGATTTGTCCCCTTCGACTTTTTCCTCTCTCGAGGATTGGAAAAACGCTAGCAGAAGTGTATTATGTCTGAGGGGGACTACTTTGAAGAGGACAAAAGAGAAATTGATAAATAAATAAATATTTCTTGAGAAAAATGAACAGAGTAGTGTATCTGCCTTTTTTCAAAGCTACAAATCTTCCAGGTGGACCGCTTTCTGCTGTTATTGTTTTCCCGTTCTCAGAAAATTCAACACAGTTCTAGTTTCCCACATGCTGTCAGGTTTGATCCATTCACAAATATTGTTTTACTGCATAGAAAGATAGCTATTCGAAGTATCTGACAATAAACAATTCGGATGGAACGTATTGTGAGAATATCCACGTGTTTGTCCAGCGTTCGGAGCATCGACAATTGCCAGAACTTGTAAACAAACAAATAAACTTTGTATATAACATGCAATTCCATATCGACTATTGTCGTAAATATAGTTTGGACATTAAATTTGAGTTAGATTATGTTCACTATTGTCCTTTAACAGTAGTAGCGTGGAAAAATCCTGTCTTCAGCTCAAATATTGTATGCGTTGAAATTTCAATTATCTTGATTATAACCTGATTTTTTCAGTCGAATGTTTTGAAAACAATTATCGTTTGTGTTTTCAGAAAAATAAAGAACTGGGAATGTTTTTCCACTTGAACTGCCAATAAATTTCCTGAATGTCATCCACTGGTGATTATCAAAAAGCTCTTGGAAGCAAGATAAGTTGTTCTCTATCATTTCAGAATAACAATAATCCCTATCAATAGGGATACATGATATCAAGCTGCAGTTCTGTGTCAATATCACTTTAAAAATACCTCAGGGGTCGATTTTGAGGCCTCTACTTTTTTACTGTATAAATTTCCATTTGGCTATTTCAAATAATTGCTATCATATTCTACGGCAGAGTCAAAAAGATATACTCTAGAAAAATATGAATGAAATTTGTGTCCTAAATCATACTTTTCTTGTTTCAGTTATCCTGGATATTATTCGTTAGAAGCCCAAAATCCAGATTATCTCCTCCAGACCATAGCCAGACTTAGGCAAGCCCTTATCAATGACGATGACTTAGAAAAGTGAGTAGTCAATCACATGGTGCACCTAACCTAAATGTTACATGTTACACAAATCCTATCAAAGTGTTGCAGCTACAAGCAAAAAGTGAACGTCTCGTTTTGTCAACTGTGAAATCCACATCAATCTATTTGTAGCGGGATTCGTCAAATTTGATAAATAATATAGTATTTGATAGCTCATAACATCGAATTATTTCCTCTAATATTTTTACCTCTGTAGACTTTATTTAAACCGTTCAATCTTGTGGAGTTTCGGAAAGATCTGAGAACAACGACAGAACTGGATCTCATGTGGATTGGTATCGTCCCCAATTCGACAAAGTTGTTTGTTCATGTACCTATTCATCCAGGAGTGGGTCTCATAACTGAAGATGATATTTCGATGAAAATTGTGGTCACTTGTCAACTGCTGCAGAGTCCATTCAGCAAATACACGTCGTTGTCTATGGTTGTTTACCTTCAATTCCTGGGTCCTGCTGGTGGGTGGCATGAATGCATAATTGATTCATTTTATTAGGGTTCATAAGCCTTCGAGAACCATTTGAAAATATAGTTCGTTGAATTATATTTAGAACCATGGTTTTCGAGTATATTTCATTTCATATGGAGAATTTTTCATGAATTTAAACGTTAACGGGTTCACATACACTTCCATTATTAAAATTTCTGTGATATCAAGAAAATATCTATTGCCGGAGATATTTTAAAAATAACTTTTTTATTGCTTTTTGTGTTATTTGGATCCCATGTATAATTAATTATCCCTTCCAATGCATTTCTTACACTTTCTTCTTATATTTAGTTGTCGGAAGTAAGTGTGATTTTACGCTGGATCACGAATGAATCAGAAACTGTTTGAACGCTCCGTGAATTTCACAATTTGGCAATGTTCATTATTCGTATTGTTCCTATTGGTCAATCGAACAAGAAGCGGGACTAGGCCCGTGACGTCATGTGCCTAGAAAATCAGATTTTTAATAATTAATGACGGAAAAACAACGCTATTTAGAGAGCCGAAACAAAGTACACTATTTTTCAATTTGAAATTACTACCAAATGAACTGTAAAGCAAAAATCATGAAACGAGCCCGTTGACGTCGCAAAATTATTCAAATTGTGATCTGTGGAAGGCCAAGTTCTTGTGAGTGACGCGGAATCAACTGCCTAGGATTCTCCTGCACACTCTCACACACAGCGGCAATGTTTTCGGCCTATCTTGTGCGCTACGTTATCCAAACACCCATTTTGATGAAACGCTGTTATTATTTGCACATTTTCTCGGATGCTAAAGTCCTTGTTGGAAGACCCAGTAGCTGTGGAACAAGACAGTGACATTTCAAGATGGCCGTTTTTGGTGCACCTCAGTATAGAATAGAAACTCAATGAATGGTATCGTTAATACGTTTTCCAACACAATGAAACTCTCAAATCCCTCCCCAATATTCCGAGTATACTCATATTCAAACTGTTATTAGAGCAAAATCAATTTTCCACTCCAGCTGCATATAAAATTCAATGTGTATCCAACGATGTGGTTTCACACCGCAAACGTAAGCTGAAAGAACTGTTCGCCTCATGAGTGAGTCTGGCTGTCTTTCAGTGTGTGCGGATTGAACATTTCAATCACAGCTATCAGCACGGGCGGGCTTCTATCTGAACTTTCTTGCTGCAAATTTATTTGCCGGCTGCAAATCCGCGGACTGAGTTACGGCCGGGCGATGTGAATAACGGAAACATGTACTTTCGCGGGAAATGAGGTTGGAAATTAAAATTACGGTGGCATTGAGAGTTTGTACTGTTAATTTCATTTAGAGGGTTTGAATAATGAACTGGTAACATATTTAGGGGACAATTTGTTGTTAGGTTTCCACCGCAACACATGCTATATTATACCATAGCTTATTGGGTCATGTCAATACCAACTGAATTTTTCAGTGCAGACATTATCGAAAGGAATGAACAACGGAAATATCAAAATTTTGAAGAACAAACTATTCGATAATAGAGAAACGTTTTTTTCTTCTACAGAGAATAGGAATCGCAATTCAAAGAGAAAATGCTGCTTCAATTTCAAATACTATCTCAGTTTCACGAGGACTCTACGAATTGATGATATTTCCTAGAAATCAATCAAATAGCAAAACCTAGAGGGACATCAAAGACAGTATATTATCTTTTTCAACAAAGAAAAAATTATCTGTGATTCCAACGATCTCCGTCACCAACTATTATTCTAGTGGTACGTCATACCAAGACGGAGACGATAACGGAGACGACGGAGACGATAACGGAGACGACGGAGGCGATAACGGAGACGACGGAGACGATAATTCCTCATCCTGCTGTTACAGTCACAGGGAGAATCAATAAAATTCCAGATTACCAACAGTAGGAAACTGCTGTTGTAGTGAAACGCATATGGGAAATAAAGTCTATTATTTGTGAAGACTTATAATTATTATAATACCATAAATAGTGAATCTCAGATTATTCAGAAGTAGACATTAACGGTGAACGGAGCAGAAAAACATTTTCAACAGTTTCAACATTATTACACCAGTAACACACCCTTCACTCAAATCCCATGGGCTCAGTGGGCAAAAAATACCAGTAACAAGTTTTTATTGAACAGTGTAAACCGTTACTTATCAAATACAAGCTGGTTGCTGAAATATCTTGAAAATCATACCTACATTAAAGACATCAATACTGATATTTCTAGTATGAAGGGTTCTCTAATCAAATCACTATATCAAAACTATCAAGACACCGTGGTTGTTAGACAAAATGATAGACACAATTTCTTTGGAGAATCAAATCCAATAATTCACTTCTCTTTCCATGGGAATCAATTCCAATAATGAACTCTCTTCTTTCAGTTATGGAACTTTTCATATTCTACATATTGCCACAAGTTTTTCTGAAGAAATAAGAATTTATGGATATTTTAATAAATTTATGCATGCACCGTACTCGTACCGATGAAATATTTCAACATTTTCCTCATCCCACATACATTAGGACCCTTCATTTCCAGGCCGTGTCCACTTCCACAGTTAACCCAAATTACTAGAAATAACGACTTCACGAAAAAATTACTGAAAGGGTCACTACGCGGACCCCTTAATTTCTATTTGACCGTTGAAATTGTCCCTTCCCATCAGGAATTCCCACACGTACGCTCCTAAAACAATGTTTGTGATCGTCAACTGTTCTTCGTGATATCGTGATATCGTGATGTGAGAGGAAAATACGACGGCTGCTTCAATAAACGGTTAGTGCGTGCGTTTCATGTTCTCACAGTCGATGTCTGCTTTTTTATTGCTTGTGTTTTTGTTCTATCTCCATACTAGTGTACGATTACGGCAAATGAGAAATTCGCAGTGTGACAATCAAGTTTTCAGATGGGAGTCAACGACTCCATAGCGTTCTTGATGCTGTTCTGTGAATTGTGCAAATGATGTCTAGAGACAACACTTGTCAAATAAGGAAGATACACATACATGAACATAGATGAACAGGTGAAATCATTGTCAAATCTAACAAATGAAATAGTTGTAGTTTCTTAGGAATGCATTGAATAGAACTGGCAGATAAAAAAAAAATTAAATATTATTTTCAATCATACAACAACATTCAGGTTATTAAATATTATTTTAAGTGTTTCAGTGATAGCACTACGCTAGCACAATCAGTGTAGGATTACACTATACAAAGCTATGGAGAGAGCTTGTCATGTCATATAAGACCTGGAAACCTAGGCGACAATTATTTTGTGGACAGCACAAGTTATGAATATTACTGGAGTTATATCCCAACACCAAACCGTTATTATAACACCCCGAGACGTGTTTCGATCACCAAGTGATCATCTTCAAGAGGAAGATTAATCTTCGAGAGGATGATCTTGTTGCATAGTGGTTTAGAATTGTGATTTAGGATTTAGGTTGAAATAAAGTTGTGTTTTATTGGGTTTTGATATCGATAGTTTTGTTGGAATGGAAAACCCAATGAAAATAAAGAAACTATCGTTATAATGCTCAGAATATTTCGAAAAGTCATATCATAAACTCTAGAAGTAGCTTTGTTATCAAGATTGAGCTGCTGAAAATTTTACCAGCTATATGACTTGCACCTTACTATATATAATCGTTCTTGAACACCATCTCTTCATCAATCTTCTTCTTTCCAGAAACTAAAAATGTACACGTAACCTAACCTATCCTACATGACATGCGATAGATGCATGTTTAGGACAGCAGACAAGGTTTCTGAATAATCGCAATAAAGTCCTGGGAGAGACTCATGGAAGATGCCATGTACAAAGAAGACAAACAATTCATAGAAAACCCTTATTATGTACAGGAGAATATGACGAACACCTAACAAAAACATGTAAAAACTTGTTTAAGAAACAAAATTGTTGGAATGGGTATGATAAAGAGTTTTCCTGAAACTCAGAAAGATTGCATGACTTCTAAGCACAGAAAAAATTACAATAACTGAGGGTGAAGTTTCAAAAAGTAATCAAGAAAATAATTATCCGAATAAGTATTCTCAAAGAGTCATCTGACCAGTGGGTCACCTGTTCATGTGTTCTTGTGCTTGCCTGCTCATCTGCGGTAGATGTTGTCTCTAGAATGTATTGTATTTAAACAGAAGAAAGTTTTCATTTTGTCACATCATCTAAATACAAATAGAATTTTTGAATCTAATCTTACCTTTCATTAACCCTATTTCTCATTTGGACCGGTCGCAGAGTATACAGTAATTATTTAGTGGTGCTAATCGAAACATAACTCTCTCTAAACACAACATGCCAAGTGACAATGAAAAATTAATGAAGTTGCTATAATCCAGTCGTTGTTGAATTCAAATAATACATGAAAGTGTACGTTTCACTTGAGACTCCAGTTCTATTAAGTCGGAAGAATTTCATATTCGAAGTTCAACTTAATTTTTTTTAGGAATATTGACTTAAATGAATTACTAGGTGTTTCCAAAATAGACGTGCATGGTTTGACGAAAAATCGTGTGAAAGTGTGTTTCCTAAGAGTGCTAAAAAATTTTGAATGAAAGATGAAAAGTAATATGGAATGAAATTTTTCCAATAATATTCCATCATTATACATCGAAGGCATCTTATAAAATGATTCATTCGTCACCTGGTATGTTGTATGGTTAACATAACCTCAAAAAATATATATTCCTCATATATCCATCTGGTTCTCGTCCGTAAGTATTGAAAGAAAGAAAATAGTTTTAATGAGTTAATTTTAATAGCATGCAAAAGATTTGCAACAGTGAAAAAAATTGAATTCTTCAATTTGACGCATTATAAAGAAAGTGTTTATGATTTTTTCTGTTTTTTTTTGTAACTGAATTATTCATAACTTCCTATGTTTACAGCGTATCGTCCAAGAGATCTACTTACCAAAAGTCTTCCATTTCGAAAAATGAAGAGGATCACCACGAAAACCAAAACAAGAGAGTAATAGATTTGGGAACGCAAAGCAGAGGATATTCGGGAAAAATGGAGAACATGTATCTAACGAATGCTGATATGTTGAGACGCATCGGCAAAAGAACTTCCTTCGAAAGGTCATATAATTAGAAATCTGCTAGGAAGGAATCATATGGATATTCACCCTATTTAAGTTTGATGAAAATTTGATTGAAATAAAATATTCTTATACTTTGTTGAGTATATTTCCATTTTATTTCGATGCCTATTGAAAGTATGGCTGAACCTTTCCTTTCCAATGAAAACTTGGCCACCCCTGTAAATAACAAACGGATTCGCGGCCAATATTACAAAGAATATTGACCACACTGTATAATAAAACTCAAATTTACTACTACACTCTCAATACAACACAAAAACTCTAATTGAACTTCAAATAAATGCTCAAATGTCTATCGCCTCATTAGCTCACTTCGCTCTGCACTTTCCGAACTAGAATGCCTCTCCCAAATCGTGGTAATACTCATATACATCGATGGAAGTCTTTAGAAGCCGATGGAACAATTCCCGAACAGAAGCAGGCATTCCAGAAAGATCGAGAGAGATAGACAATTGAAATTGAGAGTGACCTTGGCCAAGTCGCAGTTGATCGAAGAAGACCAGCGACGGCGGTGTTATTTTTTCAGGGGATAATTTACAACGATATGTTGATTTTTGTTTCGAAAAACTTTAATTTTGATACAAAATTCACCTAATAACAAGACGTATATCATTCACTTTCATTACATCTAGTGGTTTTGTAAGTGGTGTAGTTTGTGAGGGTTCCTGTTGAAGGCTTGGGCGGGGACGGATTAGTTTCATACTGGCATTTTGAGTTTCAACTTGACAATTTCATTCTCATCATAGGTTAGTACATCTCAATTTGTTAGTGGTTATCTTTTACAAGTTTGTAATGGCGGCAATCCTCTTAATTACATAATAGTAGCTTAGTGACCTTCTTCCTGATCCTTGGGCATTGCGATTCTAGGCCCTTTTTGGTATGGATTCTTCTCCTTGTTTGTAACGGGTAGTCCAGGTACAATAGCTAGGGTCGGTTATCGAAGGGGTTTGGATCTGATGTGGCCTAGGGTAGGGTTTGAATTCTGGTTGGCCCCAGGCTGTGTTGCTGCTCAATCGCCAGCAGAAATTCACCGATGAAATTTCTCCGAGATATCTTCCAGTGCTCCTAGAAGTCTGGGTGAGGTAGGGGTTGCGCCCGTCCAGACTATTCCCACTCCTCCACTTTTGCCATCGCCCAGTCGACCAATCAGAAGCTACTGCGCGCAACAGCGGGAAATTCAAATTGTTTTCACTTCAAAAAGACAGGCCACCTAACTAAGCATGGTCCCAGTGGCCTCCGGCGGCTGAAAATTTCGGGGGTTGTTTTGTCGGATGTCATCGGTGATTCCGTTTCTTACAGGACTTCGTCTGGGACTTCGAATTGGTCCTTGAATTAGGAAGTGGCTTCCCCCCAAAAAAGGATGCTTTTTTCTTGGGATCCTTCTGATGGCTGCGTATGTCTTCCAAGGGGTAGTTAGCGAATCGATTACTGCGATGTTGGTGCTGCTGATGGCCGATTGACGTTTGTTAGAAGGCTATAGGTAATGTATGTCATAGAAGTTGCGAAAAATTCTTCTCTCGGTTGTTAGCAAACCGTGGGATTGTCTCGGAGAGATCGAGCAATAGGTCATAGCTTTATAGCCCAGGATCGGTCTCATGAACATTGTATATGTGTGAAGTAAAGTCTTACTGACGAATCTTCTGAGCTTGCTTCTCGGTAATCTCAGGAGATTAGCTCTTTTCTGAATTCTATCCAGGGTGTCTGTCCAGGTTGGTTTCCCAATCAAGCATCCTTGTGGAAGTCATTCTTAAATAGATCACCTAGTCTCAGAGCGGAAGATTCTCTACCGAAAGACTGAGATTCGAATTATTAGTAGTTAGTTTGGGTACCATGGCTAGAAATTAAGAAGAGAGGGGCGTCAACAAGTCCGTGCTCTGGAGGATTTCATCTTAGGAGGTTCGGATAGTGGTTGGTAACGATCTTGAGGGCGGATTTATCATCGGTGTGGAAGACAGGGGGTAGGCCCGCGTGTATTATCGAAAACTTTTGGGAAAGCCAAAAGGACCTGATTTACTATCTCTCGAAGAATGAATAAACATCGATGTTTCATCAGTACTAACCATGAGAATGATGGATATGTTCAGGACAGTACTCATAGAAATTATCTCGGACCTCTATATCAGTGCATTTGGAATAAAAACTATTTGCCTTGGTTTATCTATGTGCATAAAAATTAATAATTTTTTGTGATCAATGAGTGGGTATTTTACGGAAAGCTAGTAAAAGAGTTTTAGTCATCTCGTGCCGTGTCAAAAACTAAACCAAGTTCATGAACTGTTCAGGCAATTGTATTAAAAATTGTGTATCATCATTTTCAATGGCGATAACGGGAAAACATCAAAACCGATTATATATCCATATTATATGTGAGCATTTTACGAAAATAACCAATTTCCAAAATGACAAATGATCATTTGATGGGGTGCAAAAGTATGAAATATCAATTTGAAACCCCTTTCGTCCACTTTATCCACCTATAAACTAGACCATTAACACCTTTCAATGCCAATGAACATTCAACCTGAATAATGGTAGCTCGACATCAGCCACTATATGCTCTCCGTAAAACAAAATTTCCATTTTTATCATGTATACACAATAATAAAATCTAATAGTATTATTAGAGCCTGATATCCAACCATATATTCGAAATTCAAAGGGAAACGAATCATACATTTGTATATATTTTATTTTATTCATTTATAAGTTTGAAAAACATAGTCATCGTCAATCTCAACTATCATCTCAACTTTAGGATCCGAGGGTCTCAACTGAAAGATTAAAAACATTCTCTAACTGTATTTACTTTTGAAAATTTTTCGGAACTGTAAATCGTCCTACATTTTATTCATGATTCAGTCGAAAAATATTGATTTCCAAAAAGAAACCTTGTATTAGGAGGGCTGAAGAAAAGTTCGTAGGCTGATTCATAGATGGCGCTACTAGTAATGAATGCATATGATTCTTAGTCAACCCTAACCTTCAAAAGACACGTGACAAATTTCACAGCTGTCGGACTTTTAGTTTGTGGGATAGAATATTTTGAGTGAAGCAACTTTTGTTAGTCTGGATGAAATGGATAAGAAGGAATTTCGTGTGTTAGTGAAGCACTGCTTTTTGGCAAAAAAAAATACCACTGAAGTCGAGGCTTGGCTTGATAAACATTATTCGGTCTCTGCAACCGTTCAGAAGTGCTTTGCTGACTTTGAACGAGGTGAAATGGGCATGTATTTTGTTCAATTGTTTTGATGTCGTACATAACTCTAGGTCTCTGTTTATCATGAATCAGTAATTGAAAATTATTTATTCCAGCTCTAAACGAGGCCTGGACTTGGGACTCGGCCGCGGATTCTCAGGATCGCAAGCAGCCAAACACCTGATGGGACTCGCAGCTGCAAACTTCGCAGGAGGTCCAGGACGAAGACGCAGAAGCGACGATGACGAAGCATAAGATGTTCCAATACCTAAACCCTCATTACACAACTTCCTGGCGACGCTGTCTTAAGCCGCGTCTACACGAGCATAAATCCACCATTTCTGGAAACATTCGACGTTGCTTTCATCAATCAACTGTCATCTTTTTACTGTTAGGGTAATTGATGAACAACAGTTGGGAAACATGTGTACTTCTGCTGTTGTGGTTAAGAGCTTCCGTTATTTTTGATATTACTTTATAATTATCTAGATAATATGTTTGGAAAGGCAAGCAACGAAGTACAACAAAATCGATAATAATATGTTTCTACAATAAACACTTGCTCCTGTGGAATCATACTCAAAACTGTGAATTCTTTCATTCGGTTTTAACTGTAAAGTCGCGCTTTATCTGGACCTCATCACGATCAGCGCCTGTAGACAGCAAACTCCTCGCATGTGCACTTTTAACTTGATGGTTCACATCTATTATAAATTCATTAAGAGTGTAATTGTTGATAAAACAAAATTTGACCTGTAATCTATCCTAGCCCACACTGGAGGCAAATATAAAATAATTCTTTCATGAAGGTGAATGTTAGTCTAACAAGAAAACCGATGAAAAGTTTTGAAGAAATAAATTCCAAAGATTTGCAAGCTGGGATCGTCCAACCGCGAAAGTATTTGATAAAAAATTGTGATTAGTTCAAGGCATGCAATTTGTTTTGCCATTTTTGTTCTGATATATATCGTCACTGCATAGTATTCATTCGAGAAGTTTGCTACCTTCGAACAACTCTCAAAATTCCATACTATTAGGTTGGGTAACTTCACAATTCAAAGTGTGTGACTGGTAGATATCTTGAGGTAATATTTTGGGCATTTTTCAGCAATAGAACCAATTTCAGATATGCAGAACCATTGCAACCTTCCAGGACATGTATTACTTCAAGATACATATGTCAATTTTATTTAAATGTTCATATACATATATGCGTATTTATATTTTACCAGTAAATCGATATTTCACGAAGAGAGCTTTAATTAAATTTTATGGTTTTCATTGAAATTATTTTCAATGTACTCTAATTGAGTAATTATCCAGACCAAACAAACAATTAAATACTCATTTGGTTTCAAACGAAATATGCGAACATAACGTCAGTAATATTCGTGTGGAAATTTCTTGCTGAAGGTTACTTAGTTAATTTTGAATTGATCTCATTAAGTGATGCGACCCCATGGTTGCCAACTGCGGTAAAACAATGACATTTGACAATTTGACATTTGCTAATGAATAAATAACCTATCTTTCTGAGTTCCTTCTGCATTTTCATTTTTGAGACATAATTGGGACAGACCATCTTATATTTCTTCATAGCTGATTCTTCATTCTGGAGCCCCAACTTCATATAGGACAACTGGAAATCTCTTGTCAGACATATTCTGGAAATCAGTTTCTCATTTACCAAAAATGAAAATGCAGAAAGAACTCAGAAAGATAGGTTATTTATTTATTAGCAAATGCCAAATTATCAAATGTCATTATTTTTACGCAGTTGGCAACCATGGGGTCGCATCACTTAATAAGGTCAATTCATGACAGATTCCCGGCATGAAATGTCATTTGATTTGTCTTGATAATACTCAAAAATGTTGCCTCATTTTTTATGTTTCAGGAAACTTTTGTGTACTTTCCAACTTCCAGAGATGTAGATAATAATTGCTCCTGATGACTCGGCTTTAAAGTTCCTAAAATTTTTCTTTTTCGAAATTTGTGTATTAGATCTGATGTAGAAATATATTAGAAAAATAACGTATCGAACTATTGATATTCTGAATACAAAAGTATTTGACGAATCTACAATATTTCGCCAATTACAATGTACTGTGAATTTCTGTGAATACTAGAGGATTTTTTGAACCTAGGATTTGACAGACACTTCCTTAAAAGATAGTTGATGCACCCTACTGAGTTGTGATGGTTACGTTAATGTCAGTTATTTAAGTGGATAAATAAATGTACAGTGAATATATTTAATTTCAATAAAGTTCATAAAAGTAACCAACGAAGATGTTCTTATTTGGAGGCTGCATAAAATCAATACAAGTGGGTTATATGGAAAATAAAGACAAGAAGTGAATTGGTCATTATTGTCTGCTGGAATAGACACAATGACCGATTTATATAATGTTCAGAGGTATTTACTGTTTTCAAACATATTTACTATTTCAACATACGAGTATAGTTTGAAATTCACGCCAAAACGCTCACCGCCATCTCTTTGTTGAAGACTTCGAACAAAACACTTGAATTGTTTAAATATTCTACCGAGTTCTCTCTCATTGGAAAATGAACTTGTGGCGCCATCTCTTCAACTAAAGATGAACATAGGTGGTAAAATAATAATTGGAATATCCTGACTGTTCTTTGAAGAAAAGTGAAATCACTTCAAAATTGGTTTTATCTTTGTAGTATAGTCTATATACAAAGTTCTATTTAAACAAGACCTGATCCTTGTTTGAATACATTTTGGTCTACCTGTATGCCGATAGATGGCTCTACATGAATAACTCAAGGATGAATAAATTTCAATATTACACTGAGAAACCTTGGTATCTCATGATTATTAATGGTTATTTTTGTAGAAATATTGACAAACAAGTAACTTCTTTTCCCAAGTTTCGTTTTCTCAGTTCATAGTTTTGCTGTTTTCAGATTTCGTGGAAAGACATGCATAGAAACGCTTTCTGAAACATTGTTATTTTACGTTGGGTCACTTAACGATATCTACGGGACTCACTAGACAGTATGAAGATCTGACCTGAATATTTGAGTGAATGAATATTAAGTGAATTGACTAAATATTTGTGACAACGGCTTCTTGAGACAATTATGCATGTTTTCCTTGAGTTTGAAGTTTGAGTTGTAAAATATAGATGGCGCCCAGATTTAGGCGGTGCTTGCTGCGATTTGTAAACTTACAGATTCCTACCTGAGTGATAGTTAGAAAATTCACCAACAGATGTCTATAGGGTATCAATTAGCAGCAAATTTATTCAAAACTGAAATACAAGTGGATCTATAATTGAGCAGGTGTGCAGGTTGAATGGACTTGATAAGCAAGTACCCATTGAGGATGAGAGAGGTTTTATCACTTTTTCCCTTCTCTGTAGAGTGTACAGGATGGAATAAAATACCGTTCAATGGTGTAGTGTAGTGGATCAAATATAAGTGTAAACTGAACAATTTTGAAACGGTGGGGGACGAGGAAATCTATAAACAACACACCGTATAATGTATGATTAGTACAAAGATAGCAAATAATCAATCAACACATAATTTGTATTCTGTACTTAGACACTATTGAGAAAATATACGTTGTTATCAGCGCCGCTACTTACACAACCAGAACTACAAAGCCAGCGTTAATATATCAACTCGTAGCTGTATTTGCACCGATTATGATTTGCATCTGCTTAAAGTATTTGTACATTCGAGGTGTCTGGCAGGTGTAGCTAAAGTGATTCCTTTATTTCACGAGTGCAGAGTTGTTCGAATTATTATATTGTAATGACTCGTTTACTTCTCTGTAAAGTTAATTCTGAATGATCACTGTTAGTTTGAATAATATTGTCAGGAATTCATTTTGATCTGCTGTAATAAAAACACGTTTTCTTCCCCTACATAATCCGAACAAACTGAAAAAATGCAAAAGTTCTTTGTTATAGGTACTTTTCCAACGTCCCCTACCATCCTTGTTGACCTCATTTAACTAAATGGATTCCAACAACTTCGTAGACGCATTTGAAACGTTTCTATTTTTTCTCTCGAGTTCGACTTTACCTATTGATTGAAACGACAAAAACGGATAGATTTGCGACCAATAAATTATCCGGAAAACGCCGAGCGAAACCATAAATATTTTTTTATTGTCTGCAATTTTAATCTAAACGTAGATATTATTCTTATCGTAGGTAAGACAGGTACACAGCAAAAGTAGTATAAGAAGAGTTTATAAAATCCATCAGAATTCTCTCCTTTTCCAGGTTGTTCCCTGAATGGTGTTTAAAAAATCAAGGGCATATAGAAAATGATAAATCAATATACGTTGTCTGTTCAAAAAAATAAGGTGAATTTTCATTTTTATCAAGAAATATTTATTATGATAGTCAACATTGCAGTCCTCAAGTTTTTCACATAATTTCAAAGAATTCGGAACCCATCCTTTACTCCTTCCGCAATGCACATTGATTAGTCGCGCTGCTTCGTTTGCAAGCATGTTAGGCCTACACATTATCGAACCATCAGTCCACCCTTTCGTAACTACCTATGTCGTCAGTGTCATACCAAGTTTCGTCCAAATAGAAAATTTGCCGTTGTTCTTGTCTATATTTAGTTATTTGTTCTAAGTATTTGTTACACAATTCCACTATTCTTCTGCTTTCCATAACTGCTTGACATTTGTTTATTATTTTAAATCTAAATCGTAGTTTCTTCATCCAATTCTGAAGAGTTTTGTCACAGCAGCTCACGTTATGGACGGAAGTATTCAATTTCTTCCTTATGATTTCAGTTGTAGGAATCTCATTGCTTTTGTAACAGACGTATATTATTTTTTTCAATAATTTGTTTAGATGAACATCTAAAGGTTTTGGTAATCCCGTATCACATCGCGTCTTGCGTTCATAAGCTTTGTTTTTGAACGTAATAACGAAAAGTAAAAAAAGAAATTCCAGCAAAGCCGAAAAGGCCCCAAAAAGGTGCCAAAAAGGCCAAAACAAAACCCAAAAAACGTGAAAAAAAACCCTTGGGGTTCAAAAATCAAAAGGCATCCGAATCCTATTCACTGGTATCTCTTCTTCGCATTGTTCACCATCGCTATTGGAATCACTAAACAGGAAAAAAGTTGTTATCACACTCGTTATTACTATTAGTACTTGTCCAAGGACGCCACATTTTAAACAGATAACAAAAATTTTAATTATAACTGCACCAATATCGAATTTCAACGCTCAAATCGCACACCAACATAACCTCTACTCCACGATTATACTAGGTTATGTTAGGCTAAATCTGAAAAGAGCGGAGTGGCAGCCATCAATTCATTGGTAGCTATAGTGAAAAATACAAAATGATTCTATGACATAATTATTTTAGGAGGAGACTGAGAAGTTTTCAAGGATTAAGTATAATTGCCCGATAGGAATGAATTCATTAGAGGCAAGTTAATTAAATCAGTTTGAACGTTCCTGAGAAATTGGGAATTTTTTGATTTATTGATTTTCATATTTTCCAAAAGGTAGTCTTGAACCTTTCTTTTGGAAATGAAGGGTTTCCAAGTTTGAAATAACACTTACAGATGTAACACTATCATCGTCAATGGTGTACTTAGAAGTGTTGGGACAAGTTACTTGTTTTATCACTTCATCACCACCGTTTTGCGTAACATTACAAGACGAAACGCTCATTCATACGCAGTTAACTAATTTAATCGCAACCAAAAGACTTCCATTCAAATTGGAAAGCAGATATTACTGTTTCGAAGTTAACCACGTCTTTCAGAGATATGGAGAAGTGGAAAAACCAAAAAACTGATATTCTATTGTGATAAGAAATGATTGCCTCTTCTACTGGCACTATCACGGGATAATTTTTACCGCTTTTTCCTATTGACACCATTTGTTTCAATAGTTCTCCCATGCATTTACTTTTCCACTTTTTCAGCCAACGGTATACATATCAATTGGTAGTTAGCAGTTCTTCTTGTGATTCCTGGTCTCCCAAATCTAAAACAATTTTCGAATGGAGACGATCCATTTCATTTTGTACTTTGTTTGATGTCTTGTCCGGCCTCAACATCCAAGTCCCGTTCCAAAAAGACGGGGGACTTTTTAGGCCCGCGTCGTATAACAAGAAACTATTTCAATGTATCCAATCATCATCATTACTATATCTCGTAACAGAATACTTGAATCCGCGAATCCTGTTTCATACTTTTATCGATTTCCTTGTGCGAGATCGACGAAATCGAGGCTTTATCCTATAAAAATGTTTCGAGCCGAGCTCATTTCATGAAGCGCGCTGTTCTGACCGCTCAGCCATGGTTACCTTTGATCAGAAATGAAATTTACGTGAAGTCGATGTCGCTAAATGAACACATCAACAGAATTGGATCATACCTAACGATATAGCACACGGACTGGCTATAAATAGACGCTTCTCGTCGTTGGCAGAGTGCACAGTGACTGTGGGCCGTAGACACCTGTTGTTGGCCACATAATCCATATATTTTAATTAAAATAGAAGAAAAAACCTTGCCGGCTTCTCGTTTACGATTCCAAATTCTCTCAGAACGCCATAACGAATCAACAAGGGAAAAATCATGAATTGACGATATATATCTACCAAGAGGCTCAAACTATGCTTCGTTTACCTACATAAAGATTTGACAATATTACTATACAAACTGTTGAACAATAAAATTGAATTCTGCGAGATACTATTTCATATCATTATACAGTGCTTTTCTTCCATGTCCCCCCCTTTTATTTTTTGAACGGGTCAACTCGAAAAATTGAAATTTGGGATAATGAAATTAATGCATGAATACTTTATTTTGAAGTGAAATTGACAGATGAAGCTCTCAAAATAAAAAAAAATTAAATATAATGTCAATAAATAATAAACTGCCACTGTTTAGATAAAGATTTACAAGCAGTAAAAAATACATGTCAGGCTACCTGATGTGAACCGTTTCACCAAAAGAAAAACTTTACCAAGAGAACATGATTATGAAACCGGTCCTGAAATTCACCTTGTTTGAAGATAAAAGTATTCGTTAAATGCTAGGCAGAATTCAACTCGAGCAATTTATATAATTTACTAATCTTACATCAAACAAAACACATTTCCTTTTAAAGCTAGGTATGTATTTGAATGCATCACATAAGGCTACATATTTAAAGCCGATTTCTCTCTACATACATGTTCAACTACCATTTATTAATCTAATTATGACGAAATTTTTCAGACTAACACTCTAATTACAACGTCAAACTATTTATTGAAAATGCACAGCAAATCAAGTCGTTAAATCTGATTCGCATTTACGTTAACAGTATCTATAAATAATTCATTGTTCTCATTTCTTAGATTTGATTTTCTCACGAAAACACCAAATATCCAACAGCACAAATATCATTATATTCAACTAAACACTGAGACAACCTACATGTTGGTGATGACACAATTACATCTTGAACTTTAGTCAAAATTGTAGTTGCGCAACCATATTTTTCCCCGAGATTATTCCTCTGCAAAATATTTTGCCAACAATTTCAGTAGTTCACAACATCGACAGTAAAAATATCTTGGGTTTGGTGCAATGAAATAATAGATGAACATGTAATGGTTGAGTAAGGAATTAAACAAATCGAAACATTAACTACGTAACACATAATAAAACATTGTGAAAAAGGTTCAATTAGAAACGCTCATGAAAAATCGTTTTTTTCAAAAATTCGACAGCAAAATTAATTTCTGCTTACTTCAACAGGGCATGGCGGTTCAAAAAGATGAAAGTTCAAATTTCGCGGGCTTCACAGAACATGTAAATGACGGCGCTCCCCCTAGACGCCACAGGACATCAACAACCGATGAAAATTAGTTCCCCAGGGATTCACATTGTCAGTAAAACACACGTAATATACAAGGAGCCTTCAAATATTTGATTTTCAGACATGAGTAATGTACTCTCATTTCGAGAAATGTTATTCAGAAAAGTTGTTCAGCATAGATTTGAAGTCATGGCTATCTAGGTGAAGTTTTATTTTTTACGCATTTTCTTAAAATGGGGACTACGAAAAAAAAGCGAATTATTTTGGACAAGAAAATCTCCAGAAAATCAATGAGTTTGTTCTGAAACACCTATTTTATTGTGATGTTTCGTAATTTGATATTAATAACCATCAAGTTCTCGTTACAATACTGTATAATTTTGGAACTTCACTGTTTAAGAACTCTTTCACTTGTAGAACTGCGTTTATGTGGAATAAACTTCCTGAATTAGAGAAAATATACAGGAATGAATATAAAAATGCTATTTAAATTCGAGATATGCAATAATACAGAATCCATTTTGCTGAGATCAGCGAAATATCCCTAGATTTTCGCCAGTGGTTTACTTTTGTAGGGTTCAAGGAATAAGAGACACAAATTTGCGGAATTACAAATATGGTTTAACTTATAAGAGAACAATTTCAAAGTAAAACTACAACTCAACTTGGAGAACATCAATTTTCACCGATCGAAATGAGTTTTAAACTCATAATATAACCTCAAAAAAAATTAAAAAGTTGTAAATCGTAAGGACCTCTAGATACTGAAATAAAGGGCATTTACCTTCAACGCAATATCATTATTATTACATCATTAACCTTTTTTTATGTCAGCTGGTATTATATCCAGGTGCTAAGTAGATGCTGCTTGAAAAAATTTGCCTTTCAATCTTTTTGGCTCACTTGACTTATGACGTAAAAAGAGAATGATGATTTTTTTTCAAAATTTCATAAGTATCTATTGTCATAGATTGAAAATACATCGAATATTTTCAATTGGCATGATACGAAATAAGATTTGATTGACATGGTAGATCTTTGTTTAGAAGAACATCATTCTACAATCGCTTTAATCATGACATGAAATAAATCACATAAGCTGCAGCATTAATTTTTCAGGTTTGAAACACCGCAAACCAGTTTATTCTGTCCGCTTAGTTACAGTTGCCATGGCTAATGCGAATATGCAACAAAAAAGTGTCACTAATCTTAAGCTAGTGACCCTCAAAGATGATGTCACCACTTTTGTACCATTTAAATTAAAATTAATGAACGAAAATTTGCTGAATTCCTTAAAAATATTACTTTTCTCAACCAGGTCTTTATGATCTATTCGAACTCACTTTACGGCTGTTTGATCCCAAAGTTTAGATAAAATGTCAGATAACTGGAATATACACTATTTAGCAGGTAATTAACTCACCCTACCTTAATCTGACGCGCTCCAGAATTTTTGATGATCAATTTTTATTTACTAATCTGATCCTTTATCCTTCACAGGCGGCCTTATATATGAGGCTCATATTTGGTGGAGGTACTTAACCGGGTACAAGGTATCCCCCTGTATATTAATCCGCCGCGCTATAGTAAATCCCGAAATCCCCGCTTGGGCTTCCCTATTATAGCATACGAAACTAAAAAATGAAAAATAAATATAGTTTGAAAACTAAAAAACACGCTTTTGAAGAACATCGAACTAAAAAGTTGAAAATATTTTTAATGATTTTTTAAACTATATTTATTATTGTCCTTTATCTCAAGTATGTCACAGCTTATCACGTTTTCAGATAACAAGTTAAAACAATTGAATATCTTCTAACAGAATACACTGTTTTGAATTTTTTTATTTTGTTAGTAAATAAGATGTAGAATTTTTCCAAATGCCGTAAATAACAGCATCTCTATTATCGTTGTAAATATTAACACTTTAAGTGACCAATTTTTTAATGTAATTGCATAAGTATCTTCTGAACTGTTACAGGGACGATTGAATAGAGTATAATTTTCATATTCAGGAACTGTAACTGTGTCCTTGAAGCTCTATATCTCAATAAATATAGCTAGAGAATTTTGTACTCTTTACATTGATGCTGTTAATTGTTTTTCCAAATCCTAATTTTTTGTCTCCTTTCAGCTCATTACTATATGACGTCGTTAAGCGACTTTCATTGTGTTGATGAACGCACTGTTCGAAGTCGGTTTGCAAAAAAATTTCAAAAGAGTTGAGAAAACATGAACAGAGAGTGATTTCAATAGTTTTACTGTCTTATCACAGAATTTTTCTTGAAAGTTGACAGTAAACGACCCGGGAAAAAAATGTATCGATTACTTTTGAACCACCCTGTATAAAAAACGCCTCGGCACAGCAATAATGATGATGTAACTGCCTCAAACTACTTCAAAAACAGTGAATAACAGTTTTAAAACAAAGATTTCACACTATTTATTCCAAGCATGTAGATATAATTAGTTTTCTTTTATTACACTTATATAATTAGTCTAGAAGTTTCTGTTTACAAGTCCGAAATATTTAGCAATAGGCGTCTGTTTTGCGATGTTAAATGCGGGAGCAAAACTTGATTTTAATTTTTAGGTACGTTGTCGGGTTTTATCTACCCACAATTTTCTCCGGTATTAAAATAGTCCAAACAGCAATGACGGTCGACTAATGTCCCTGTCTCAGTGGATCAAGGAAAATTAAAGGAGAAGATTGAATTTTTCGTATTTCTGAATCATCCTTCAAATCCATGTCGCAGACTCAAGAAAAACAATTGTTATATGAATCTGTTTTCAAGAAAAACAAATCATGGTACATTATTTATTTAAGAAGAAAATGAATTTGGAATGCCGCAAGGTAGTATTCTCGGTCCCTAACTCTTCCTGATTTATATATAGAGGACGGAATCTTGAAATCCACTTGTTTTCAGATGGCAACCTCATGTATTTTTCATCCACATAACAAGGAACTGATTTCCGCGGTCAGGTTGCGAACTCAACAACATATATGTATATATATACCAGAGGCAGATCCAGCCAAACCCCTCTTTGTACGCAAAAAATATTCAATTATGGGACCTAAGCCAGCCCACCAGCTACACTTTTGCCCATTACCACCAAACCTAAACCAATAACCAAATTCCTGCAGGAGTCCTGTTAACTTATCTAAATTTAAAATATATCATGTTCAACAAACATCTTTTTCATTTTTCAAAGTGAAAAATTAATTTCAAGTGCGCCTCCCCTCAATGCCTAGATCCGCTCCTGATATATACATATATATTCAATGAGTTTGTTCTGAAACAC